TCATCTTTAAACTGCCATATTATCTTTAACCTTTCAGATAGCATTTTTGAACCACAGAAGAGTAAAATGGTACCTTTTCTGTCCCTTCCAAGGAAGGAATTTTATACTTTATCACTATTTTCCCTAGCTCCTTTTTGACTTAATATAAGTTTTTAAATCCATTATTTCAAAATTTTTAGACTTTTTTCACTATAAATCCTCATTTTTTTATAGACCCCTCCCTCCTCTGGGACTTACCAAATCAGAAGTCCTAGAGACAGAATCTTGGAATCTTTATTTACTTAATAGGCAGAGAGAGAACAAATTCTCATCTGCTGCTTCATTCTTTAATCAAAAGCAACATTCAGGGCTGGGCCAAGGCCAGAGCCAGGAACATGACCCCAGGTCTCCCATGTTGTGGGCAGGAACCCAATTACTTGGGCCATCACTGCTGACTTCCAGGATCTGCATTAATAGGAAACTGGAGGTGAGTATCAAAATCAGGCACTCAGATACAGGATGCCTGTATCTTAACCACTAGACCAAACACCCACTCAAGTCCTCTCAAAAATTAAATAAATAAATAAATAAAAATTGCAGGGCAGGCCATTTGGCACAACAGTTAAGAAGCTGCTTAAGATGTGTACACCCCATACAAGAGAAGCTAGATCAAATCCTGGCTCCTCCTCTGATCCAGCTTCCTGCTAACACACCCCTGGGAGGCAGAAAAGAAGCTGATGGCTCAAATTCTTGGATCATCAACACCCGCACAGGAGACCTGGACTGAGTTCTAGGCTCCTGGCTTAAGCCTGGCCCAGCGCTAGTTGTTGCTGATACTTAGGGTGTAAACCAGTAGATGGAAGATCTCTCTGCTTTTCAAAAAGAAGGTAAAACTAAATTTCTAAATGCATGGCTGTACATTTACTTTTGTGGCAATAATTATTTAAATTATTTAAAGTTAACTCTACATGTTTAGTTTCGACACTCATCAAATATCTTCATATTTCAAGAACGCCCTTTATTGCACTATTCTTTTTGGTTCTCAATTGTTTGGAGCCATGTTTCAAGCAATTTTTCTACAACAATGTCCTCCTCTTAAGTCATAAAAACCTGGCTGGATATAAAATTCAGGGGCCTCTGTTTTACCATCAGAATTCTGCAGACAGCTTTACTGTGTCATTATATTAATGCTATAGAGAAGTCAAAAGCCAGCTTGGCCAGCGCCACAGCTCACTAGGCTAATCCTCCACCTGCGGCACTGGCACCCCGGGTTCTAGTCCCGGTTGGGGTGCCGGATTCTGTCCTGGTTGCTCTTCTTCCAGTCTAGCTCTCTGCTGTGGCCAGGAAGGCAGAGGAGGATGGCTCAAGTGCTTGGGCCCTGCACCCATATGGGAGACCAGGAGGAAGCACCTGGCTTCTGGCTTCGGATTGGCGCAGCACGCTAGCTATAGCAGCCATTTGGGAGGTGAACCAACAGAAGGAAGACCTTTCTCTCTAACTCTGCCTGTCAAAACAAAAAACAAACAAAAACAAAAAAACAAACAAAAAAAAAAAAACGCCAGCTTGATGCTGATTCCATCACAGGAAATCCAAGTCATCTTATTAGTCTTTCTCCAATGCTTATAATTCTTTATTCATCTCATAAATATAAAATCCCACCAGTGTACATAGAGACATATTCCCTTCTCTTTAATGTACAAAAGTACTATTTCATTTTTCTTCTCTTATTTCTTTTGTTCTCTCCTTGTTGTACTCAAACTGTGGAATCTGAATGCTGTCATACAGTTCGCATACCACTACACACTGCCTCCACTGTCATGCTTAATTTTGCAATGTTTTCAGAAGAACTGGCTGTATTTACTTTCCCGATTTCCTAACCTTCTATTTACTCCCTGATTTTCTTCTTTTTTTTTTTTTTTTTTTGGACAGGCAGAGTGGACAGTGAGAGAGAGAGACAGAGAGAAAGGTCTTCCTTTGCCATTGGTTCACCCTCCAATGGCCACCGCGGCTGGCGCGCTGCGGCCAGCGCACCGTGCTGATCCGAAGGCAGGAGCCAGGTGCTTCTCCTGGTCTCCCATGGGGTGCAGGGCCCAAGCACTTGGGCCATCCTCCACTGCACTCCCTGGCCACAGCAGAGCGCTGGCCTGGAAGAGGGGCAACCGGGACAGAATCTGGTGCCCCGACCGGGACTAGAACCCGGTGTGCCGGCGCCGCTAGGCGGAGGATTAGCCTGTTGAGCCGCAGAGCCAGCCTTATTCGTGTAATTAGTTTCCCAGCCCTCTTATACCTTTGCCACCAGCCCAACTCCACAGAAACCACTCCTGTGGGTGGTCCCAAAGGTCTACAATGTCAAAAATCAGGATGCAGGTTCCTGTGGCTGGTGCTGTGAAAAAGCACTTGTGACACTGGCATCTCATATCAGAGCACTGGTAGGAGTCCTGATCGCTCTGCCTCGGATCCAGCTCTCTGCTAACACACCAAGCAAAGCAGTGGAAGAAGGCCCGAGTACTTGGGCCCCCTGGCAACAACATTAGAGACTGGGACAGAGTTTTGGGCTCCTGGCTTCAACTGGGTCAGCCCCAGTAGAGGCAGCCATTTGGGGATTCAACCAGCAGATGGAAGATCTAGGATATGCTACTTGCTCTCTGTCACTTTGCCTTTCACATAAATAATTTTTTTTTTAAAAGGTTTCTGGGGCCAGCACTGTGGCACAGCAGGCTAAAGCCCTGGCCTGAAGCACCAGCATCCCATACGGCACCGGTTCTAGTCCACCTACTCCTCTTTGATCCAGCTCTCTGCTATGGCCTGGGATAGCAGTAGACGGCCCAAGTCCTTGGGCCCCTGCACTCGCATGGGAGGCCCAGAGGAAGCTCCTGGCTTTGGATTGGCGCAGCTCTGGTCATTGCTGCCATCTGGGGAGTGAATCAGTAGATGGAAGGCCTCTCTGTCTCTACCTCTCTCTGTAACTGTCTTTCAAATAAATAGAATAAATCTTTAAAAAAATAAAAATAAAAAAGGTTTCTTTACTTCTAATAGTGTTTGTGGTATTTAAGATTTATTTGAGGAGTCGGCACGGTGGCACACTAGGTTAATCCTCCGCCTGTGGCGCAGGCATCCCATATGGGTGCTGAGTTCTAGTCCCGGTTGCTCATCTTCCAGTCCAGCTCTCTGCTGTGGCCCAGGAAGGCAGTGGAGGATGGCCCAAGTGCTTGGGCCCCTGCACCCACATGGGAGACCAGGAGGAAGCACCTGGCTCCTGGCTTCAGGTCGACGTAGCTCTGGCCATGGCAGCCATTTGGGGAATGAACCAACAGAAGGAAGACCTTTCTCTCTGTCTCTCTCTCTCACTGTAACTCTGTCAAATAAATAAAAATCTTTTACAAAAAAAAAAAAAAAAATTGAAAGTCAGTTACTTAGAAAAGGAGAGGCAGAGAGTCAGTCTGTCTTCCATCCGCTGGTTCACTCCCCACTTGACCACAATGGCCAGAGCTGTGCCAATCCAAAGCCAGGAGCTTCTTCCAGGTCTCCCACACTCGTGCAGGGACTTAAGTACTTGGGCCATCTTCTGCTGCTTTCCCAGGCCATAGCAAAGAGCTAGATTGGAAGTGCAGCAGCCAGGACACGAACCGGTGCTCATATGGGATGTCGGCACTGCAGGTGGCAGCTTTACCTGATCCACCACAGCACCAGCCCCAGAGCTTTTGTTCTCATAGTTACCAACCATTATCTGCCATTATGATTCTGCCTTGGTTTTTCCTGATGCCTTTTTGTCCACGTATCTGGCTGCTCTTTTCCAGTTTCTTTTCTAGCTCTTTCTCCCTCTGTTCATCTCGTAAATGACAGGCTCTCAACAACCCGTCCCAGGGTCTTTCTACTAAACTTCCAATGTGCCATCTTGCCTCTCTCACTGTTCCAGCAAGGATCTATGAAGGACTCCCCAGATTTGGACTTCTGATTCTGTGTGCCTTAGATACATCCAGGAAGCCATGTTCAGCAGATCACTGAATGGGGAGGTCTGGAACTCAGGACAAAGATCCAGGCTTGGGGGGCCCTGCAGGTAGAGATTGTGCTGCAACAGGGGAGAGTGGGTGAGACTGCACACTAGAAGGGTTTCATCCAGGGATTTCTAAAGAGGCGTGGCCTCACATTGTGTAGGAGCCCACACCTCTCTCAGGGCAGAACCAGAAAGTGAAAGTGCACTTTCCTTAGTGGCATTCTTTTGCTGCTCACTCCACAAGGTGAGTTTGGTTTAACAGAGCAATAAACACCCAAGGTACCTGCCTGGGAGTTTCACTGCAGTTACCAAAAGCTGATTAGCATTTCAGGAGTGGCATTAAGGCACCTGGAATTGCTAGGTCCTGTCTTCCACCTGGAGTCCTTGCAAACACCACCTACCTCTGTCTCCCCAAGTGTGAATACCTCTGCCAATGTCCAGCACAAAGCAATTCACTACTCACTACCCGAAACACCTGTCCTAAAGCCTGAACATAAAGCCTGAACATTCAGTCTGGGGAAAGTCAAGCTCCTCTCAACCTTTCCATCGTTTGCAAGCACAAATGAGACCTCGCAGAGGAGGCACCACCTTGCCTGGATTTTGGACAGCGTTGTGTACCACAGTATTGTATCCTCACCCTTCACTCCCCACCTGGCAAACCCCTGGACTGGAGAGCATACTAAGGAAGGGGCTGTATCTTATTTCTCAATCTCCAATTCCAGGACAAAGGCAGGCACCTAGCCAACTCAAAGGTTAGAGGAAATAAATGAAAAGGACAGTTTCTTTCCCCAGCTTTGAACCTTAAAAAAAAAAAAAAAAAAAGTGCACCCTAAGCGAGTCACTTCACCACGCTGGTTCTCAATGTCCCTACCTGGGTTTCCTAGTGCACCTCAAACCCTGAACCAATAGTGTTTCTGAAGGTTGGTTACCTCCACCGATTTAAAAAGGAAAACAGCAAGGGGAAAACAAGTCCTCAGTTTTTCCTTGCCCCCAAGGGGCGGGCAGGCGCCGCTGGGCATCCACTCACCCTCCCCAAGCCAGGAGTTCATGTAGCTCAGGATGTGGGTAGGGTCCAGAATCCTCTTGACATAGTCGCTGAAGGCTTGCAGGTTCCTCCGCTCCTCGGCGGTCATGCTGGCCTCGTTGCCCGGTGAGATCCACCCCACCCGGCTGCTGCCCGACTCCCTTTAAAGCTGGGCTGGAGGAGGCGGGCACGCCAAGCGGGGAGGGGAGGGATTTTCCAAGAAATCAACCGCGGCTGAGAGGCGGAGCTGCCTGGGAACTTACAACTGGAGGAAAAATCGAAACTGCAACTCGCTGCAGCCGCAGGAGGGCGGGGCCGGCCCTGGCCGAGCGCTTCCCCCAGTTCTGCAAGTTTCTCTTTCCTGTTCACCCGAGGTGGGGGGTGGGGAACCGAGGAGGACAACCCTCCCCCACCTCCAAGCCCCGGGAAGCTTTTACAGCGGTAAAGTATAAAGAGAGCAAAATGCGCACAATTGAAGGGTGCGATTCGCTAAGTTCTGAAAAATGCATACAGGTTTAACCACCTTCCCCAGATCAGTTGGGCCCCACGGTGAGGGTATCATTCACCTTTTTGGAAGCTGTCACCTGTTGTCCAAAATGGCCACGCCAGTTTCCATTCGCACCCTTAGCAGATGCGGGCTCCAGTGCATGGATAGCCAGCAGATGCACACATAGGTCAGTCTTTTTTTTTTTTTCTTTTTAATTTATTCATTTGGCTTCCATCTTGGTCTGTATGAAATGATACATTATTGTGGCCTTAATTTTGATTTCTCATATAATTAATGATGTTGGACACATCTGTATGTGCTTTCTGACCTTTCATATAACCCTGCATTTGAAACTTCTGCCTAATTTTGGAATGTTTTAAAATAGACTTACACAGCGCCCTGCATTGTGACATAGGAGGGTAAGAGCCCCTGCCTGTGACCCTGGCGTCCCAGACACCCATTCCAGTCCTGGCTGCTCCACTTCGGACCCAGCTCTCCGCTAATGTGCTAGAAAGCAGTGAAGGATGGCCCAAGTGCTTGGGCCCCTGCACCTACGTGGGAGACCAGGAGGAAGCTTCTGGCTCCTGGCTTTGGTCTAACCCTGCCCTGATGGTTGCAGCAATTTGGGGAGTGAACCAATGGGTAGAAGATACCCCCCCTCAGTAACGCTGACTTTCAAATAAATAAATATTTAAGATACATAGCCTTACAAGAGTGATTATTCTATATACAAAATTGTCAAATATAGGTATTCAAAATATTTTCCCAGTCTGTCATCTAGCCTTTTGTTTACACACACACACACACACACACACACACACAATTTTATTTGAGAGGCAGAGAGATAAAGAAAACTTCTATCCCCTGGTCCATTCCCCAAATGCCTGAGCGCTGATTCCAGCTCTCCTATGTGGGTAGTAGGGACCTAACTACTTGAGCCTACTTCCAGGGTTCATTTTAGCCAGGGCTCTAACTCAGGCCCTCGGATATGGGATAGAGGCATCCAAAGCAGCATCTTAATCATCACCCCAAACACACCTACCCCTTTCCACTTTATTTATGGTGTCTTTTGATGAGTGCTTTTTACCAGTTTTCTCCTCTATTCATTTCTTTTTGTGTTCCCTTTAATAAATCTATGCCCACCCCAAGGTCATTAACATACTGTTTTCTTTTACTTTTTCTCTTTTACTTTTAAGTCTGTGATATCTCAATTAATCTTGTTGTGATGTGTCATAAGGGACCAGGTTCATTTTTTTCCATACTTCTCGTTTTAGCAACATCATTTGTTCAAAATGTTTCCTTCTTCCACTAAATAGCCTTGGGACCTCTATAAAAAAAACTTAATTGACTCTATGTGTGTAAGTCTATTTCTGACTATATTCTATTCCATTCTATTTCCTGACTCTTGTAGCACTACCACTTTCTCTCTCTCGTTTGCTGTAAATTTCAAGTAAGTCTTCAAATCAGGTACCACTGAGCCCCTCAAATAGGTTCTTCATTGTGAAGATTATTTTGGCTATTGCAGGCACTTTGCATTTCTGTATGAAACAGGATTCAACTTCTCAATTAAAAAAACAAATGCCTATTGGGATTTTGACAGGGGTTTTACTGAACCTACAGATGAACTTGGCGAGAACTGACATCTTAACCAATATTGAGTCTTTTAGTCCACGAACGTGGTTGCAGTTTCGATTTTTCCTCCAGTTGTAAGTTCCCTGGCAGCTCTGCCTCCCAGCTGGTGTTGATTTCTTGGAAAATTTACTTATGTCTTTAATTTCTCTCAGCAATACTTTATTAAAAGTCTTACACATGTACAAATCATGTTAAATTTATTAGTTTTGTTCTTTAATTCTACTGTAAATGAAGTTTTTAAATTTTCATTTTCAAATCATTTGTTGCTATTACATCTTTTTTTTTGACAGGCAGAGTGGACAGTGAGAGAGAGGGACAGAGAGAAAGGTCTTCCCTTGCCGTTGGTTCACCCTCCAGTGGCCGCTGCAGCCGGCGCGCTGCGACCAGCACACCGCGCTGAACCGATGGCAGGAGCCAGGTGCTTCCTCCTGGTCTCCCATGGGGTGCAGGGCCCAAGCACTTGGGCCATCCTCCATTGCACTCCTGGGCCACAGAAGAGAGCTGGCCTGGAAGAGGGGCAACCGGGACAGAATCCGGCACCCCGACCAGGACTAGAACCCGGTGTGCCGGCGCCGTAAGGCGGAGGATTAGCCTAGTGAGCCGCGGCGCTGGCCGCTATTACATCTTATACTACATTTTAAATTCATTTATAAGTTCTAGTAATTGTTCTGAAGATTCCCTAAAATTTTCTAGGGAAACAATCATGTCATTTGCTAATAGACAGCTATACTTGATCTTCAAGTTTTAGTATGTATGTATGCCTTTCACTTTCTTTCCGTATTTCTTCTATGCTTCTTACTCCATTTCCTTTCCTTATTGCATTGCCTAGGGTGAAAGTTGAATCTAAATAAGACTTGGGGCCGGTACTGTGGCATAGTGGGTAAAGCCACCGCTTACAGTGTCAGCATCCCATATGGGTGCCAGTTCTAGTCCCGGCTGCTCCACTTCCAATCCAGCTCTCTGCTATGGCCTGGGAAAGCAGTAGAGGATGGCTCAAGTCCTTGGGCCCCTGCACCTGTGTGGGAGACCCGGAAGAAGGCTCCTGGCTCCTGGCTTTGGATCAGCACAGCTCCAGCTGTTGTGGCCAATTGGAGTGAACTAGTGGATGGAAGACCTCCCTCTCTGCCTCTCTCTCTCTCTCTCTCTCCCCTCTCTCTCTGCCTCTCCTTCTCTCTCTGTGTGTAACTCTTTCAAATAAATAAAAATAAATATTTAAAAAATGATAAGACTTGGAATGAGTGTTTAATCTAGCAATTAAGATGTTTATATTCCATATCACAGTACTTTGGTTTGATTCCTAGTTCCTGACTCGAGCTTCCTGCCAATGCAGACCCTGGGAAAACGTGGTGATGACTCAATTAATTGGGTTCCTGCCACCCACATAGGATTCCTGGACAGGTTCCTGGCTCCAACTTTGAACTCAACCCAGACCTGATACTGTGGGTATTTGGTGAGTGAGCCAGCAGATGGCAGCTCAGTCCATCTCATCTTCTTACCTTCCGCCCCTAAAAGAATATCAAAACACATAAATAATAACCCCACCACCACAACAACAAAAAAACTGGTGAGGGTGGACACCCTTACCTTATTATTGACCTCAGTGGAGAAATGATCAATGTTTCACCTTCAGGTTTTTTCTCCATCTAGTGAAGTGAGATATATTCTTTTACTATAAGGAAATTTCATTTTTAAAAAATTCCATTTTATTTGAAAGGGAGACAGAAATAGACAAAACTTTTCTATCCACTGGTTCATTGCCCAAATGCCCACAAAAGCCAGGAGTCCAGAGCTCAGTTTGGGTCTCCCACATGGGTGGCAGGGACCCAAGTACTTGAGCTGTCATCTGCTGCTTCCTAGGGTGCTCATTAGCAGGAAGCTGGAATCATAAGCAGAGCTGGTATTCAAACCCAGGCACTCCAATGTGGGATTCAGGCACCTGAAGTAGCATCTAAACCACTACACTAGATGCCTGCCCCTTCATTGATTTTTTGAGTTTTAAACCAATCTAGCATTCCTGGGATATGTGACATCCCTTTTATATATATTCTGGACTAAACAGTATTTTCATAAATATTTTTCTGTGTTCATGAAGGATATTGGTCTGTAATTTTCTTTTCTTGTAACATGTCAGGTTTTGATGCCGGGTTATGTTAACCTCATAAGAGTTTTATAAGATTGTTATCATTTCTCCCTTAAATACCTAATAGAAATCACCAATAAAACTATTTTGGGGGCTGGTTCTGTAGCACAGCAGGCTAAGCCACTGCCTGCAGTGTCAGCATCCCATATGGGCGTTGATTTGAGTCCCAACTGCTTTACTTCTGATCCAGTTCCCTGCTAATACATCTGGGAAAGCAGTGGAAGATGGTGCAAGTATTGGGCCCCTGCCACCCACCTTGGAAACCTGGAAGAAGCTCCTGGCTCCTGGCTTTGGCCTGGCCCACCTCTACCCATTGTAGCCATTTGGGGAGTGAACCAGCAGATGGAAGATCTCTGTGTCCCTCCCCCTTCCCTCCCTCCCTCCCTCCCTTCCTCTCTTTCTCTCTAACTGCCTTTCAAGTAAGTAAATAAATAAATCCCCCCCTGCAAAAATCTATTCTGGATTGGAGTTTTCTTTGAAGATTCTTTATAATGAAATCAATTTCTTTACTAGATATAAGCCTATTCTCATTTTTGAAAATTTCATCTTGAATTAGTTTGGTTTTCAGATGTTAAAATAATTAAACAGGATGCCTTTGTAAACAAAATGAAACTTAAGCTCAGCAAAACATAGGTAGACAATTGGGCATTAGTTGTATTGTCTAGAATTTTTCATCTGTATAGCCCAAATAGGCCTAATAAGGCAATCGCTTGCACGTCAACCAAATAATTTTTTTGTTCTCCCAGATTCAACCTATAAAAATTTTCCCTTTAACCCTCTTTGGTGGAGCCTTATACCACTTCCAATTTGGAGCTGCTCGATTCAGGATTCACTAACTGCTCAAATAAATGCCTTAAAAATTTTATATGCCAAAGTTTATTTTTCAATGCAAGGACTTCAATCATTTCTTCTAAATTTTCAAATATATTGAAGTATGTTGTTTTTGATATTCATTTTTTTTCCTTCCTTAAAAAATCAGTCTTATCGGGCCAGCGCCGTGGCTCAATAGGCTAATCCTCCACCTTGCGGCACCGGCACACCGGGTTCTAGTCCCAGTCGGGGTGCCGGATTCTGTCCCAGTTGCCCCTCTTCCAGGCCAGATCTCTGCTATGGCCCAGGAGGGCAGTGGAGGATGGCCCAAGTGCTT